CCTGTGTTGCCCTAACAATAGCCGCCATATACTGATGCAATGACCATAATGGTAAGATGGTAATGTTGGTACTCATTTGTTTTTGCACTAGTTGTCCTGCACCAGAAGCATCATCACTTCATCACATGTCTATACATGTCAGCCAATCACAAAAAGGTTCTAGAATTGCATCCAAATACAACCTACAGGATGTATCACATATCTACTTGTCTTAGACAATACTCTTTCTATAACTGGACATGTCTATACCTGAAAGTCCTCTGACAACCAACATGTGTCAATTGCTGTTACATGGTGATCTTACTGCTATCAGCGTAACAGTGCAAGTCATTTCAGTCAATCTGGTCACTGTCCTGGCACTGAACAATGGTCATCCACATTATTCATAAGTTTTTTCAGCTTCTGACTGTACTGTCACTCATGTCACATAATAGACTGACTTTGAACAACAGTGACCATACTATTTGGGTGATTTGCAGTCTAGCCCTTGCACAGGACGTCCATGAAGGTTCACTTGAACAGAATGACCTGGTTACCATCTTGGATTTTGAATGGACAGTTTTCTGCAGTTATGGGTGCACATGTCATGTGGCATATTACTGGTTACTTACTGTTTGATTAGTATTGTAATACTCAAATACATTACTGGTCTGTCTTTGGCACTGACTGTCATTGGGAACCCCATTGCATTATCAAGTAAAGATGCAACCACCATACTTCTTCAGTCCCAGCTGCTGTCTTGATAGCACCTGCCTCTGGATCAGGTCCTGCCAGTATCACAATTACAGGCCCTGTTCTGTCACTACTGCCTGTACAACCACCTTCTGGCTTGTCCAGATCTAGTCTGATCAATATTGGCATTGGTGGGATAGCTGATCCATCTGGTTTGCATCACCATGAGGCTGCCAATCCTGTCCCACCCATATGCACTGGTTATGATCTGATCAAGGTTACTGACATCAAACTCAGACTTAAATTGTAAGTTATGATGTTTACTACTTGCTTCATCTCATTGTACACAGTTTCTGTCTTACAGCTCATATTATTGATCATGTAAATTTTGTTAATATAATCATTTCTGTCAGGTTTATTGCTTCACTGGCTGTTATGTATTGTGACCAGACAACAGGTACACCTATGGAACTCAGTTACAGTTACAACTTCCACCCAACGGCGAAGTCATTCAGGTAAATATATATTACCAGCACCATCTGTTTCTGACCCTTTCTTACTTCAGATCCCAGGTACATTGTTATTGCCCACAACTTCCATTGCGTACAACAGTTGGCTTGTCTCCAATGGTCCAGTCTCTCTCACAGTCTCTCAAATAATGTCGCACCCTTTTACTAGGGAACTGGCAAGAGTGACCATAATATTGAATCTTGTCAACCTGAACAGGTTGCATGTTGTGTATTGCATGTGCTTTAAGCCTGGTTGTGGTGGTACTATGGAGACACAAGTAGTTGGGTACAGATGCAAAGTTTGTAAGATGTCTGGTCCAGCACCTGGAACAGTCAAGTACATCTCCATTATCTTTGTTGTACTTTGACTGACTTGTCACAGATTTGCTTTACACAGTGAATTACAGGATGGTGACAACCTCCTGTCTGTAACTTTCTTTGATGTGTCAGCTCAGGCTTTGCTCAGTGTGACTGCATCACAAATGGTTGCTTGGAAGGTAAGTGTACAGACCTGTTCTTGACTTTTATGTATTCATCCTACATGCTGGCACAGTCTCAAGATAACAAAATGTACAGTCTAATGCTCACTAACATGGAAAAGTACCGCCATAAGTTTATGTGCAACATATCTATTGACCATGTATGTCTCCATACTACCATCATTAATCTTGCATCATATCTGACTTGAAATTCAGACTCAATCTCTTAATTGTATCATCCTGCTCATACAGCATGTGTAGTTAATCATATGTCTTCTGTCCTGTTCTATTATCTACCCGCAAGTCAATTTAATGCAATGTCAGTCTTTTCATCTGTATGTGGTAATGTAATGTGACACACAATTTACTGGGACATAAGGACAGTATATTACTAGGTCTGTACATACAGCATAATCCCTACAGGAATGAAAAGTCATAATGTTGTGTCCTTATGTGCAGCATAATGCAGATCAGTCATTGTTCAGTCTTTGCTGTCTGATTACCTGTGTTGACTGTCTCTTTCAATTGGTCTGCACGAGTTATGTTGTATCCCACCATAGATGTAGTCTATAAAATAAGTTAGTCTCTTCTTGCATCAGTACAAAATGTATGCATGCTACTTGTATGGGCAAGGATAGTGAATGTATACCAGTGCTTGGCATCCTTGATCAACTCATCAAACTTTAAGTCTTCATTCACCTAGAAGTTCTGTTATCTCCAACTACCTCTTTCTGATAATAAACAACCTCACCCTCAATGTCTCTGCCTTATGTACCGGAATGCCCAAGACACATTCAGCAACATGGTCAAACATAGTCACGTTAATTGTTTCAAGACCATCTGTAATTTGTACTTCAATGTGGTAGCTACATAAATAGCCAGTTATTGTTCTGACATGTTTTACAACACTCACCAGAATTGTGGGTTGTCAAATGTGCATTTGCATACACGACACTCCCAGAACTCCCTTTCCTTGTACATGATTTCCTTTTCATCATCATTCAAATGCATACCCTGACTGTCCATATGTTCCACTGGTACCTTGGTGACAAACAGATGAACCAGTCCATTACATCCTGTCCAGCTGCAAGCATTGTATGCAACTTGGTCCTTCCTGATCAATTGAAGATAAGCCCTGGTCATGAAAACAGATTTTTCTGGCCCAGATCCTAATTCTTGCAAAACAGCTTCTGATATGCTGGTAAGACCATCAGGCCTGGATGTCTCATATAATTTCAAACAAGACAATGCTCCAAATGCAGTGTCAGAAGGTTCAATGAATGTTTCGGCACATCCTCCTGCCTTGAACCTATTCTACATGTTAGTAAAGCTGTATTCATGTTATGATGTCTCATACCATTCTCAGAGTGTATTTGCAACCAGAATATCCAGATCATATACCAGTGACTCCTCTGAATGTACAGACTCGAACTGCTTGCAGTACAAGGATGTCACCAACTATGGTGTTAAAGGCAGACATGTTGTCATGCCACAATGCCACTCGACAAGCATAACCAGACGAGTCAATGATCTGGATTTCCCGAATAGTCACACCTTCATTGATGCAACAGGCTACTTCTGTTGCTGACACAAATTCACCTGGCAGGTTCACTGGTTTATGCTTGTTGAGGTGCCGAAGAATAACCTGTTCACTAATCAGGTTAACAACACCTATAGTGTCTATAAAATTGTACCATAAGCATACTGTCACAGACAAGCCATCATTCACTTACCGCATGTGCCCATACTGACAGCAGGTAAGTTCTTTAATAGGATGAAGTCATATGTCAAGAGCAGTACTGATCCATCATCAGCTACCTAATTCAATGTTACTACATCCAATATCTGCATATATGATACTTACTTCATGAAACCAGAACTTTGTAGTTAGTTTAATCTGGTATGGGGATCCAATAGAGTATTGAAGGGCAGGTGTAGTGATTTGTCCATCAGATATAGCATATACCTACATGAAAAGTTACTATATATGCTACCTGTAAACATACTGCATACCTTCCTGACCTGTAACTCATTTGCCTTTGCAATTGTGTCACTTGACCAAGCTACCACACTGATGTGGCCCTACATGTTCATTCATACATATCAGTCCACAACTGACTGATGCATCCCCAAAAGTCAGATTAGATACAAAACATCCCAGCTTTGACTGTAATTCTGTCCCCCCAGTATTTCACAATACTTGTATGCATATCTGAAATCTAATACATGTCTAGTTAGTTTACATGACCAAGCATATACCTTTACTTACACAGTCATGACTGGGCACAGGTCTGCAACCTGGTGATATCCATCCTCGTCACATCCAGGATAGCTGATGATGCAACTCTGGACACTGTTCCTGGCCATACAAATACTAGTCCAGGTACGAACTGGTCCACCTTCTGTAACTTGATTGTTCAAGTTCAAAGGCAAATTTGTGACTGCATATGGGACTTGATCAGGAAAATGTACAGAAACTTGAGAGACCAATGCATTGATAGTAATCGGATTGCGGAGCTTCTTTTTCCATGGGAATATCACATCCACAATGGATAAAATAGCAACACTATATATTGGTAAGTAAATGCATCTGTAAATCATTGTGATACTTACATGTATCCTCCTGAAATGTACCTTACTGTATTCTTGATTTTGACAATGTCCAACACATTCACCGCACCTCCTTCCACCTTTCCATTCTGATACATACACAACATGACCAGCATAGCATGACTTCCATCACTAATGGTCAGTCTATTGTCCAGTTAATCTTATGTCTGCGTCACATACATTACACTTCCTTGCACTGCCTAGGAGTCAGTTCTTCACCATTCATCAACACTCTCCTGATGTGTAGAACTTGTATGACTGCTTCACTAGGTACTTCCTCTGCAGTAAGAATGTCACAACAGAAATTTTCAGTTAGAGTCAATACCGGTTCAGACATGATGTAAGTAAGTTCAAGACCAGTAGAAACAGACACGACAAGTAACCTGGTGACTGTGACTTATATTTAAAGTACATGTCGTGCATTATCAGAATCAATTAAAGCCATGTGATGTCAGCCAACTGCTTCCGAGACGCGTCCCTGAAGTATGAGTCGACGCCTCCTGTTAACCCAGGAGAGACGCGCTACATTACTTATTATGTTCTGTCTACTCTATAACTGGTTAACAACATATCCATCTCGTCTCGGTCGACTCAGTATTTCTCTCAGGCACATAAGTCGGGTACGTCTCTTTCCTTTAAATGCCCTCTATAACGCACTTCGTATCTAAATACCAGACAGCATATACCTACCCAACATCGCCAGCGTGTCATGGCACGATATGCTGCCTGACTTGGACAGCAAAGGACGCAACACTGCAGAGACGAATTCGATACCTACTGCTCAAAATACTACCGGTCTTGTCCGTAAAACTGTCAACGTTCCCAATGATCCGACAATACCTGTCCAGCAACCGACTGTAACTGGCAACATTTCCGTCCCATCACTCGACACAGTCCCTCCGCCTGCCACAAGCTTGTCTATTCACAGTACGAAACGAAAAGTACCTGACAACCACGATACTTCTGAAGACCCTACCGGTAAGAAAAAAAGGACGGACGACGAAGACAAGGACGGACAATTTATACGTTATGCAACCGCGTCTGGTGCGTCGAATAAACCTCAAAAGAACAAGGTATTTACTTGCTATTGTTATGAAACATGACTGATGGTATCTTAAAGGAAAGAGCCAGATCCGGCAGTACTCGCCCGTCCGCTCCCGGCAATTCACCTGTTCAGCCCAGACGCTCCGGCGCGTGTGCACCGGCTTATCTCGGTTCTTCCACGAAGTTATCGTCTGCTGAGTATGCATGCAGGTCGTAACTGTATTCTATGACGCTAATCTTACAGTAGGATACAGCTCCTCGCAGAAACGCTCGCCTTCGATATGTGGTTACGAGACATGGACGGACATAAAGATTCCTCACTAGTATGTGTAGTCTACTACTACTACACCGGTTGTTACTGTACCAGTCGCTGTATGATAATCGCATAAACTCGTATACGACCAGTACCACTCATGATGTAATACGTATGACGAGACCAAGGTCCCGGTTTTGCGCAGAGCGCCCTTCTATCTAAGACCAGACGACTTGTACTAGGAGGATTCAACGGAGGCCATAAAGGACCGGAAGTATTCTGACTAATCTGATTGTTGCCCATGTCACACGCAAAGACCTCTTGGTGCATCAAGTCAGCGTACTGTTACAGCAAACCCTCTCACACGCTCTTGATTCCCTGGAGTCCTTCTCTAGCCGTTTGGTCTATCTTCCGCTAGTCCTGGAAGGCGAGCGAGAGCCCCCTCGTGAGCCACAGGAGGAGAAGGCGACATTGGAGGAAAGCGACATGTTCAGGGCGGTGGACCATAGGAAGGGGAACGGTGGCCAGTTCAACCTCTACTAGTCGTGGAAGGTTGCACAAAAGTAGTGATTCAAGTAGATCGCGTCCAACCTCTTCCGATGTCGACTGATGTAGAACAAGTCGAACGCGGCGCAAGGTCTCACTTGTTTGAGTCATGCACGGGACAATCGCATTCATGGCCTCTGCGTTTGAAGTGTTCGCTTCGAGAGTGAGATCCGCGACGCGGTTGGTGCACACGTCCATGTAGTCGTTTATCATCGTTAGGGAGTCCTGGTACAGTGGAATATCCAGCTGCACGTTGAGGAGCGATTGCTTCGAGCGCTCGAGATTACAGGTACACATGTCACTGAGGGCTCTTCCCCTTCCATACCAGGGATGAATCGGCTTGAAGTCTTCGTCTGCTAGATATTTGGGGTTCAAAAACACCAGGTCCGTCCATAGGTTCGACATATCTAACACGACTGCACGCCAACGGCGAGAGATGCAGGAGACAAGTTGTGGAAAAGTTCTGCCAATGAACGTCTGCCAGCAAAGAGTTTCTTCATCGCGGCCATGCTGGATGATGAGTCGAATGAGATCGTCCGATAGTCGATATACAGGCGCGAGAGCATCGTTTCTTTTCTGGTTGACCTGCTGCAGTCGACGATGAAGGGCTGATTCAAGCTCGTGAACCTTCGACACTGCAATGTTGTCCGATTGAGTGAAGGGAGAGGGACCAAGACGTTCCAGGATATCACAGAGGCTTGTACAAAGATCAAGAGCTTGAGATAGCAAAGCAGATCGTTCTGCGGGCTGCTGGTTTCCGGACATGACCTCAATCGCCTTGTTCTGCGCCAGCAACGTATGTATCTAACACCAGACGACTCAGAGTGTTCAATAGAAACCTCAGAAGGGTCGGAAGCATTCTGACCAATCAATTCCTTTCCTTGGAGTCACGTGCTTAAGCACCATAGTCTACACCTTTGTACAAATGTTGTTGTACATACTGCATGCAAACACCTCCTAGTAATATCACATCAATTCCTCCAGAAGCTCCTCCGCTGTGTACCCCCTGCTAACCCTATATGCCTTCAAAGCGGCATACTGCTCCAATAAGCCCTCCCACACCCTCCTGGTCCTCTCCTTCTCCATCTCACTCACGTCCATCTTCCGCCAATCCTGGGAGACGAGCGACAGCCCGTTAGACAGCATCAGCGCTGTGAAATGCTCCAGGGTGAGCAGGTGCGAGGGGGTACAGTGGCGCCAGAAGGGTACACAGGGGTGATCTTCCTCTCGCTTTTCGACTTTCCTCCGCTCTGGTGCCTTCACCGGGGAACAGGCGTGCGAGCTCGAGGGGGTGACAGGCTCGGAAGAGCTAGCCTCGGATGAAGTAGACGCAGGCTTCCGTGGGGGCGTGCCGATCGGATCTGGGTACACGGCAGGCCTGTCCCCTACGCTTGACCGGGAGGAGCGGGAAGAGCGCCGAGATGACAGACTGGACCAGGGGGAGGAGGGGACGATCGAGTCCATGTCGTCTTGTACGTCTTCCCATGCTGCGCGTGCAGCGGGGGAACGGAGGATTTCGTCTATCTCTGCGTCAAGTTCCGCGTGTAGGGAGGCACGGAGAGAGGTGGTGGTGGATTTCTGCGAGATTGTCTCTATGGGAATGTTAGGCAAGGTGAAGGTGCGGTGGAGGAGGGATGTACCGAGCTCCCGGTCGAGTGCGTCGAGGTCTAGCAAAGGGGGGGTGGGCAGCCAGCTGCTCGATTGGACGGGGGTAGGTCGGTGCATGCCGTTGTATGAAGAGGGCTGGTAGATGTCAGTGTTGTTCAGAGGTTGGAAGTGTGGGGCTTACGTAGGAAGGGGAGAGCAGGCCGGAAGTCGAGAGCTTGTACGGCTTTGCGGCGGGCATATTTCGTTTGCAGAAATCCAGATTGCTGGGAAATATAGGCGCTCGAGATGTATTCCCGTTGCAGATTCGTAAGAGGCGTTTTCTTCTCCGGGAAAGGCCAAACACCAGTTGCTGTCTCCCCTCTACCCTTAGCGTCCTTATATACCTCCCCTCACTGAGTCCAGAGACAGACAACAGACAACGTCCACGATGCAGTGCATGTATGGTATTGTAATGTGTTGGGAGGTGGCGCGAGACAGGTGCGGGAGTCTTGACCTAGCCTAGACGGGGTGAGTGCAGGACGACCATGTCGACGCGGGTCGGAGCTCGCATAGAGACGGCACTGAGCATATCCGGCACGCGGCCATTGGCATGCTCGCCGCCGACGTCCGCCACTCTGTAAGGCGACGGACAGCGTTTCGGGACAAGGAGGCTATATGCAAGGGAAAGAGACGTACATTGTCAACGCGTCGGATGATGGGTGTGAGGCGGACAGCGACGCGCCGCTCTGTTGTTACTGGGCGCTTCTTCTGCTTCCGACTCACTGGCCTATACATACACGTTGACTCTGTTTCGTATCTTTTCCGTACTCTTTCGCACTTGATCACACTTAATGCTTGCAATGATAATACCCTCTTTCAGAAGTGGTTTCTCACAACAACCACAAACATATACTATTGTCTACTGCATCTGAAGGGAAGCTCTACTGTATGTCTGACGCTGCGCATTGTCCTCGATCAAAGCTGTGCATCTCGTATACAATCCGTATATGTACCTCCCCGAGAAGTGCATTGCCTCCTCTCGTGATCCTTGCGGCAACTCTCAATTGAATGCACTCTAGTTAGGGATTGAAAACTCGTCTGAGTGTTTTATTGTAGGCGCTCGTACGATTTGCTTGCTGCGCACTAGGAAAAAGCCAAATATAGACCCTTGGCTATGGGGAGAACTTCTTAAATGCAGCATTCTCGATGCTGTCGACAACTTGCTCGTACGTTCAGCCTCATCTTTTTGGTCTGCCATCTCCGGCGGTCACTTTGCCCCAAACTAGACATCATCCTGGCCCCTGTCCGCTTCTCGCAGGATGCGGGCACGTCGAACGCTATCCCTGATCCTATGCTGCATCTTTTCGCTTTCGCCATCCCATGCTAGCCCAACCTCCTCCATATCCAACAGCACCAACAGCACCATCAACGCGCTCAGCGGCCCCGCCCTCGCAGTCGACACAGACCAGCTAGCTGTCTTCACCACGCGGAACCAGCAAGCTGGCTGGCCAGTCATCCTCGGCACTGTCCTACGAGGGGGACCCACGAATGCCACCATCAGCTGGTCGTTTCCCCAACTGGGGAGCGTACTGTGTACAGTCAGCGGAGTCGTTAACCAATCCTGCGCCGGACCAGTGTTAGACGTCATCTTCCCCTCCGCTGGCTCTTACGGCGTGAGTATCACCATCACCGATGCATCTACCAACGCGCTCTTCACCACCCAGACGTTCAGCGTCAACATCTCCACCGGTAATGCAGTACCGACAGGGACGAGGCGAGAAGTCAGAGACCTGACGACAGGCCAATGGAGCAGGTTTGTCCAAGCTGCTCATGTGCTCAAGACCTTTGGCGTGTGGGACCATATAGCGAGGTTGCACTCGGCCGCGATGCAGGACAAGAGTATGGAGCGCTCTGCTTCACACGGTAGGTAACCCCCCTCTCCTGATAGGCAGCGACTGATAGCGAACGCAGGTGGTCCCTCCTTCCTCCCTTGGCACAGAGCCTTCATTCGCGTCACCGAGTTGTGCCTCCAGACAGCAGGGAACGACATGAGCATCACGCTCCCCTACTGGGACTGGACGTTCGACCAGCCCTCCTTTGCCTCTTCCCCCATCCTCACAGACAGCTTCTTCGGCGGGAACGGCGACCCTTCCGTCAACGGCGCTGTCACGTCTGGCCACTTCTGCGACGCCTCCGTCTCCTCCTGTCCATCGTCCAGCAATTGGCCTGTCCCGGTCGAATTTGGCGGGCCAACACTCCGCCGCACGTTCGCAGCCGACTTGGGAGCAACTATCTCCACTCAGGCGCAGATGGACGCGCTCACCGCCGTGGAGTTGTACGACCAGTCTCCGTTTGACGCGAACAGCACGGCTGGGTTCCGGGCAGGCATGGAAGGGTGGATACTGGGCGTGTATGGGGAGATGCACAACGGGATCCACCGTTGGCTTGGCGGGCAGTTCTCCAATGTGCCCACATCGTTCTTCGACCCGGTGTTCGTCGCCCATCATGCGAATATCGACAGGCATTGGTATGCCTGGCAGCAGGCCAAGGGTTGCGTGGACTGGAATGATGGATGCTATGCGCCGATAGACGATGACCCGCTTGTGAATTCGTCCACTCCCGGCGCGGCGCAGCTCAACGGGACCTGGCGCATTCCGGGACACCAGTGGTCGGACCATATGTGGCCGTGGGGTATCGCACCGAAGGACGTAGCAACTGCCAGTATCTACTCAACTTGGTACACGTACGCAGATAGAGGAACGCTGAGCACTGATGCGCCCATGCCGATCGTCGCCGGTGAAGGTGCAATAGAGTTTGTCAGTGCGGCTCCGAATGGCTTTCTAGAGCATTTCGTTGTGTTACTTTATGTTGCCGTGGTTGTATCAATAGCTGTATCATTCTTGTAGATAAGCCAAGGACTCACTGTGCAAATCACATTTCCTCTTTCCCGTGAGGATGACGTCTTCTAACACATCGACCCCGCAAGGGACTTGCCGCCCGTGAAAATGTTCACCAAGCATCCGAAGGAAGAGGATTATGGGCGTCATTGATTCTGTCTTTGTTCTTTCATACTACATACAGCATGGCTCGTGACCAGGAGGTCTTCAATATCTGCGGGAGTATAGTATAGCATGGATATAGAGGTCCGGAATTGGGTGGGTATTAGAAGTCCGAGGAGAATGCGTCAAATCATCTTCTGTAAGCCTCGCTGATGGCGTGAGCAATATCCCGAGTTGATAATGGATAACCCCTGTCGATGTGACTCCCCGCTGCTTGGTGTATGGCCCAACCGGGATTCGTTATCTTCAAATTACGGTAGGTGCAGGTGAATGACCGGATTTGAGGGAATAAATGATGGATAACATGAGCAATTCCGTCGATGAAAGTTGAGGATGGTCTCGTCGTTGGAAGGTCGTGCAAGCATAACTCCTGCAACCGTGAGGGGGAGCTTGGCATTCGTAAAAGCGACGCAGCCCGGTCCTTGGATAAAGAGGGAAGTACTGCCAGGCGAAGGCTGTTGATGTCAGGCAGCCCCCATGCCACTGTAGCAAGGCCGCCGAATGTTACACGTTCAAAGTCGCTCGTAACCTGCGAGTGTCCGAGTTGAAGATCCCGCAGTCGGGGCCACGCCTTGACAATAAGTTGTACGTCTTCGTCTGTGGCAATGACCAGAGACGGTAGCATAACTCCAAAACATTCCATTGCGCGACACCTCAGCATACCATGAAAAGATGCGAAAGTCCAGCACGTATCGGAGCCGTCCTCAGACCATACGTGCAAACCGAACACTCGCAGGTTGCGGAATTTCGCTCCCACAAGCTCGCTGAATTTCGGCGCAGTTTGGGGGCATAACGCTCTACATCCAGCATGTAGTTGAAGGGATGCGAGGTGTGGCGCTTGCAGGCCATGCATGAACCAGGAGAGCTCGGTCGCATCACAGTTGATTGTCAAGTGATGCAGATTTGAGAAAGCAAGGGGGCCCGGCGTTAACACCGACTCTTTTCCATTTGGAAGGCAAACAAAAAGTCGTTCGAGCATAGGCAACTTCGATAGGTTGTGGACGAGTGTATCGGTCAGGATGAGGTTAGAGATGTCAAGCGTGGAGAGTCGGGGGAATTGCCGCGTAAGATACAGCAGACCATGTGCCTCGACCTCACTCACGGGGCGTCTGCTGGTGTTTGCGCATGTAATCGTGAGACTGTCCAACCTCGACAGGGAGCGAAGATGTCGGAAGTATACCGGTAAACCACTGCTCTCATATGAATCTTTCACGGAGAGATCGAGTTTCCGGTCTTCGAAATTGATGATCAGCGCGAACGAACGCAGCATCGGTAGCGCCAACGGGATCGAATTCGCAACGGTTCTCGGATCGTCGGCAATGATGCGCAATGACTGCAGCTGTGGGAAACAGGTCTGCAATGGCAGAGGACCGAGAATCGATCGCAGGTTATTGATACGGTGCGCGTCATCCTCTCCACCTTGGCCAATGGTGAGGGAACGTACGCGGGCGGTGTACATCGTGATACGGCCAACCGAGTGGGTTTTCGGATTGTGCGCTTTCTTGCTCGCATGGCTACGAGAGATAAGGGACCTTAACCCAGTTGGGGCCGCCGGAGACAGCTATGTATAACACATGAGATAAGCAAAACAATACCTGCTCAGATAGCTGTACTCACAGAGGGATCCGGCAACACGCCATAGAGTGGGCCCAATGAGTCTAGCTCGCCAAAAACAACGTCGAGGTATATTTGGAAGAGGCAATGGCACGTCATTCCAAGATTGCAGATGTCTCGAGGGGCACAGTAGGACATGACGTCACAGATGACATCTTCGACGATCCAGACACGGTGCGGGCGTTGTGGACGAGGCATATTTGGCGAGGGAGTATTGGAACTCAAGTGGGATGGTTTGTCGTAAGAGCAAAGGGGGGATATATAGCGCGGAAACGGCCCGAGTGTTGCGGTCCGGGAATTGCACTCATTGCTATCCACTGCAAAATCTCTGAATTTGTGGGGAACGCCGAATGTCATCTGATCCTGAGCCATGAGGCAATCGGGTAGGATCTTGGGAGACGAGGGATGACGTTTTGAGAAAGTGAGTCGACTTGATTCACCATATAGGGAAAGTAACATTCTATCTGATCTTATCACGCTGGCATCCCTGCGACCGTAACTGCGAACAACCGCGGCGGGTGTGGTTGAAAGTGTGTCCGAGTACCTAAAAAGTCGTTCAGCTCATGGTTTGACGGTGTGGGCAGCGGTCGTCTGGGCGCATGAAAGTTGCGCCTGATTCAGCCGCGGCCATAAGAAACACATGTTCACCGAACTTACCCCAGGATTCCTGGGTCAGCAGCGTGCTTCTGCGTGATATAGACCGATGTGTCAGGGTGCTGTCGGCCGCAACGGCCCAAGGTGCTCGAAATGAGGTTGGTGACCGATGTCGGTCGTCAGGTGCCTGGTCCGGGTTCCGGCAGAGCGACCGGTCCCTTCAACTGTACCTGATAGAGGACACGGACGCGCCGACTTGCGAAGAGTGCAGCAAGAAACAGGTAGAACCTACCTGATATTATCGCCCAACGGTGTCCCGAAGCGCCCACCGCCGTAAAGCATGCGTGGATATTGTTCTCGGGAACTGGTTAGCTATAGGTTTTCCACTGGAATAGGAGCAGGCAACGTGCACGGAGAGCGGGGCAACCGGGAGCAAATTGGGCGGCGGATTGTTATGTGCGCGGTGTCCACGGACTACTGGCGTTTAGATTGGCAGCACGTATCTGCCGCCTCGTAAGGGAATAATAAACCTTGAACAAGTAGTAAGCAAGACGTATAATAGCGTATAGCCAACCACAGCCTCCACCGTTACCTGGCTTTTCATTATATTCGAAATAGCCGTTTCGACCATCGAATCGTTTTCCGCGGGAGCTCGGAACTGCATTCGAGGGTGGATGTCCTTATCCGTTTCCTTTTCGATCGCCTTGGAAAGGTCCTTTGAACGGGATGGCCCTTCCTCCGGTGTCGTGTCCACCGATGTCATTCGAGAGCAAAGCATGGTGGCATTATGGCGCCCATGATGTGTAAGTCTATCCCAAATTTGGTTGGACCACCAGCAAAAGGTTGCACCACCACTACAGCGGAGTTGGAGAAAAGTCATGCCAAACCCTTACGAGCCTCCTTTTATTAGTCCGGAGGATCCGTCGACATTGAAAGTTGGTGCAAAAAAGGCTGAAACATGCATGTTGGAGGAAGAGCGCTCGCATAACGTCTAATGGTATTGCCGCAACCTGGACTGTCGAGTATCAAACAATAGACTTGTCGATAAATATGGAGACAGGCATCAAAAATATCGTCAATTCGCCGACATGACCGGGCGCAGCATTAGACATCGTACGGTGCCCAGGCTTAGAACAGCAGGTGAAGCAGAAAGGAGGAAAAGAACATTGAAGTGCTGGACCCGAACAAAGCTGCAAAATAATCCGGGCGGAGGCATTTACTCCGCTGTTCGCGTCTTGCCGTCGCGCGTCGAAGGATCCCTTCCATAGACCGTGCCAAAGCTCGACCTTATCCTTCATTTCCTTCTTGACCTCTTTCACACTCTTCTCATCTGTGTATATTCTCGGAAATACAAAATGTCCGGCGGAGAATCACGTACCGGTGAGTGATAAATTCGAAAGGGGCAACAATGTATAGTTGTGTCGCGCGTCGAAGTCGAATCTTTGTGTTGCATCCGGTCGCCCCTGAGATCGACGTCGCATACATGACTGTTACTGATTGATTACTGTGCACAGAACTTCTGCAATGGCTGAATGACGTCCTGCATGTGAACTATACCAAGGTTGAGCAATGTGGGACGGGTGCAGCATACTGTCAGATCATGGATTCCATCTACGGTTGAGTCACCTCCACTTTCACTGAAATCACCAGCTGAGGGTCTTGCAGGTGATGTTCCTATGTCGAAAGTCAAGATGAACGCAAGGCAGGAGTACGAATACCTCAATAACTTCAAGGTTCTGCAGAACGTGTTCAAAGCAAAGAAGATCGACAAGGTGAGTGATGAGGCGGCGCTTAGATGTACACTCATACTGTCGCCACTAGCCTATTCCGGTGGACAAGCTGGTCAAGTGCAAGATGCAGGACAACCTTGAGTTCCTTCAGTGGATTCGGAGATATTGGGAGCAAATGTACGGTGGGCAGCCGTATGATGCTATTGCGCGACGAAAGGGACAGCCTGGTGAACCCGCAGCGCCGGCGTCTTCTCGTCTCACGTCATCGTCGAGCGCCCGCCCTACAGCGAGAGCAACCAGCGCTGCACGTGGAACATCTCCTGAGATTGTGCTCCAGCTACAGACTCAAGTCAGGGAGCTGCAGACGAATATGGAGGGACTTGAGAAGGAACGGGACTTCTACTTCGGCAAAGTGTGCATTTTCACGCTACTCATATGGTCCCCGCGCTGACTCAATGTACTCGATAGCTCCGCGATATCGAGATCCTCGTACAACAGCAAGCGGATGCACTTGCGGCGGAAGGGAAAGACGATGACGTGCTAAAAGAGATCCAGAAGATTCTTTATTCGACCGAAGAAGGTTTCGAGGTGCCTGAGGGTGCTGAGGGTGAGGGCGAGGTCGTCGGCGATGAAGAAGAGACTTTCTAGTGAAAGTCTATCTATTCTATCCACATCATTTCATCTCGTCTTCCCATCATATCCCTTGTATCCTTCGATGACCCCATACCTGAAGTAACGTAAACATATAGTGTTGTGACACGTGTAATCCGCTACAATGCTATAGATCGGATCATGGTTTCCGGAATGTCCCATTGTGCCAAAAACCTAATGAGCCTGCTGCTTATTCTTCTTCCAACCCCAGCTCCTTCTGTATGCGTTGCATGCACACCATTCTCTCGCTCTCTGTGGGCGCATTTCCCGACATGGGAAACAATTCCTTCCGCGCATATCGGAACGTCTCCAAGTTTGGAAAGAGTCGACGGACAAACATGGATGTGTTGTCCACGTCGCAAATCAGGCAATCGTGAACATACAAATTACGCAGATTTGGGTTGCGAACCGTTGCATACTCTTCTGGCCAGTTCTTTATGTTCGGAATGAGGGCACCAAGAGATTGCAAGTTGATAGAGAGCTCGAGCACCTCCAGCTCATGGCAGTTGCCTACCAGTGCAAGCAGTCCTTCCGCACCCGCACAAGGCCTTCGGCTCGATATGGGGCTACCATACCCCGTTAATGACAGTTCTCGGATCTTGGGCCAGCTCTGTCCTATCTGGACGAGATCCGCATCTTGAGCGTCCAGGCGGATGGGAGGCGCGATCAGGAACTTGCGTAATTGATGACACGACAGCATTGGGCGAAAGGAATCCATATCCCATATTCGGAGACTCTCCTTTTCGATTTGGAGTTGACCCACGCGTGATATTGTGAGATCTTCCAGGCTCTGTGACCATGACGCCGCGATCCGCTCTGAAACGAGCCGATATGCTGGTCCGTTGAACCCAGCGGGAGAATCGAACGCTAGTGCTCCAAGTTCCCAATGAAAATCGAGTTGGATACGCCGCAATACTGGCGCATGTAAATGATCGAGTAGGACGCTTAAATCCGTGTTGCTTGAATACTCGATGATCAAACTCTCGAGGTGAGGCAGTGACACGGAATCCAGGGTGGGAACAATGAGCCCCAGTTGTATTCGGAGGGTAACCAAATTTCTTGTGCTGCTGAGGCGGCGAAAGAATTCGTCATCCGCTTTCATCCGCCAGGCGTCGAAGGCCTCCAAATCGGGAAATGTACGCAGGATTGTGGAAATGAAATGTAGCTCGTCTTTCGATATGGTGTCACTGCCGAATAGTGTCAAGGAATCCAGTCGCGGTAGTGTGCACAAATGAGGCAGGAAGATTCCATACCCCGATCCGCCAAGCACTTGATCGGTATTCGGAGGAGCTAGGAATATCTTGATCCACGAAAGATTGCGGCTAGCAAAGGGAAGAATGCATTGCAAGAATTCCGGGCGGTGGATGATGATAACCAAACTCTGCAGTCTGGGAAAGAGCGATTCTACCGACTCCTGCTGGATGACTTCTAGCAGGATTTCAATTTCTGGACTTTCAAAGGAATCGGAGGGGTCGGTCAAGATCAGATCCGTCACGAATTGGGAAAAAAATTTGAGTCGTCTAGAACGCGGGCTATTCGTTGGTTGCGGGATCGGCTTGTTACACCATAGCCAGCTCTTCCAATTGCAATGTGTTCTTGAAGATGAGGCAAAAATATCCGCGGTGGATTCGGCCAATGTGATCAAAGCTGTAAGAGGTGGGCTCGTCCAGATGAGCGGTATTCCGAGAGTGTACAGGCGGTGACAGGTTCGAGCAAGGCAAGCGGCGCTTCTCAGTTCGCAATGTTCGAATATCATGAGAACCAATTCATCGATGGACCAAATACTGTGCCATCGAGCCGAAGTAAGATCGCATACAGTCGTACCTCGCTTCATCGTGCAATCGGGCTGGCGCTGCCTGAGACGACGAACAATGAAAGATATGTAAGGGTCGTGTTCCTCCACACATGCCTTCGTCATCATTGGGCGTCTAGACATAGCCACTGACTGGCGCTGGATTTGCTAAACATGTCACATAATCCACCTTGCACGAACTTGGGTCCTATAGATGAAGTATGAAAATCAAGGTCGCAGCTCTAATCGCGCCTTTATCTCCATCATTGCCTCCATCCTCTGTTCGTCCGCTCCATCTAGCTCAGGATCGTTCGGCACAACCTTGCGGGTCGAGAACCTGAACCTCTTCAATTCTGGGAATAGTCGTGTCAGTAAGGTGGCGGTGAGTGCGGCGTCGCAAGGTGGGCAATCGTGTACGTCGAGCCGGAGAACACTCGTGTTTGGTACAACATTCGGGAGTGTAAGTTCGTCTGTTCCCGAAGGAATAAGCGTCATCGACAGTGCAACGTTCTCCAGCTTGGTGCATTTGCGAGCGAGATACAAGAGTCCATAAAAGGTGGCACTCGGTGGCTCGACGATACTTCCCTCGGGTATAGCGAGCGCCAAATGTTGCAATTCGGGCCACGCGTCAGCTATTGAGTACAAGTCCGCGTCTGATACGTCAACCTTTACTGGTGTCTGGATTGTACAGGTTCGCATGTCTTGACATCGGAGCAACGGAGAGAATGGTGTCCATTTCCACGGTGACGGCGGCTCAGTTGATGTTATGATGTCTGGAAACCCAGAGAGTGTGAACACCTGTAACCCAGGCCATGAGTTTGCGACCGTTTCGCACAAGGTTCGGTAAGTGCGAGTGTTCCCTTCCGCCACACTTCCTGTGATTCGGATGGCGTTTGACTTGATCTGCAGCGCCTTGAGAAGGGGAGCGGAGAGCGCTTCGAGCAGACATTGCAAGTCTTTCACGCGAGTATAGGTGACGCTCAGTTGATAGAGGATGGGTAGAATGCAAGGAGAGGGGAAGAAAGGGATATAAGTTAGTTGTATGTTGATCTTCTCCAACCCTCGCATAATAGATAGTGGACCGAAGAAAGATGCGTCGACCAGCATGAGTGGTGCAGAAAACTTCTTCATAGCAGGGAAATGTTTGGCAGTTTGTTCAAGAAACTGCGCTTCTGCCTCCGCACTGGTTGCTCTGCCGTACAACTGCAGATTATCGAGTCGAGGAAGACCAAGTAGATAAGGAAGAAAATCGGAGGATCGCGCGCCAGGCGCATCTTCGGTTAGGCCAATAACGATGAGCGTCAAATTGAGGTACTTGAGGGTCGGAACGGCGAACCTGAACGCTTGAGCCGCAAAGGCGGGGGTGCTTACTGTTACATGAATGTGCTCCAGAGAAGAAAATATGTCCTCCATAGAATACTCGGAAATGAATATGGTATTGACAATCGCGTAAAAGTCGTCGTCGTGTCCCTTCCCTGGTTCGACGATGTCTAATCTTCGCGCGTATGCACCATAGAATGCTAATCGTTCAAGGGTGGATTCATTTTCTCCAAGCCAATTTGCCTAGATTTGACCATTAAGCATATCAAGGGAGGCACGACGGGTACTAAGATCGTACCTGCGGCTTTCCGTTACTGCGCATGAGACTGCGGACTTTCGCGAATAGGGTCGTGGGGTAGGCGCTGGATTCCACCAGCAGATTTGCAAGTCCTTTAAAACTAGGTCTCTGCCATACGAAAGGGATAGCGAGCAGGAACAGGTGTTTGCGTAAACGCGCGACGTGGGCCTGATCCGCTCGTTCGAGATAGTCCAGGACCTGTACCACCAGATCATCAAACGACCAGAAGCGATGCATTCCTTTCTCCATTCGATTGGTGAGGCACAATAGCGAGCCGTTAGAGAGATACAGTATCACATGAAGAAATGGTCGTTGTTCGCTGCCAGTTCAATAGTCGTCTACAACAGTCGCTGACAGGGAACAGGGACGCCCGTCGTAGTATTCCCACAACCCTTACGCCCAGTTACTCACGTGGTCTGCATGGCAGCACTGCCACTTGGCCAAATCGGGAAAGACCACAAATCTTCTGTGTCCAATGAGGTGGAAAACTGAGCTGGCCTATGTGCAGTGAAATGGTCTATCGTGCGCACTTTCGGAGGAGTGGAGTCGTAAGGGCATCAGTGGCTGTGCAATGACGTCAACCGCATGTCATAGTTTTGTTTCCTTGCAATCCACCAACATGTGTCGATGTTTCGTTCCAGTCTTGTTCTTGGGAAGAAGAACCACTCGGTACCGATGGACTCCTATGGGTGGTGCTGCGGACATATGTGCAGAGTGACGCCTACTACGTCGTTGCTCACGTGGAGTTGAAGCAGCCGTAGCTCCGGTTAGCCTCCTCGATCTTGTTAACTTTGTGACACACCCTCTTGGAGCACGATCGTCCCCGTCCACACCAAGAGCTCACGGAAGAATCTGGGATGACGCTATGACGTAGTGGTGTCCCGAGGATCTGCTCGTGATGTTACCAACCTTCCCCCGGACCCCTTGGCTCTTTGAGAGCTTCCAGCCGTATATAAGGCCCCTTGATCTCTCAGGTCTTTCGTTCCCCCAGAAGTTCAACCACCACCTACCAAACCAACCAAACCCAAACTATTTTCATCATGTCGAACTACAACGAGCCTACCAAGCAGTGTATGTCCTTGGCACTTCTTCCCTGTCGCGTTCATTGACAATGCCCCACAGCCGGCCAGTACCACTCCCTCAAGGGTACCGCCGTCGAGGCGATCGGTAACATGACCGGTGCTACCTCGTGGCAGGAATCCGGAAAGAAGGAACACCAGCAGGGTGAGGCCGAGTACAACGCTGCCCAGGCCAAGGTCTGGGTCGAAGGCGGGATGGATCGCCTTGAGGGCAAGAAGGACTCTGTTCTCGGTGCCATCACCGGCGACAAGCAACAGCAAGCCTCTGGTGAGTGACGACCTGAATATATGCGCCTAACCCAGTCGCTAATTGATTTGTTTTAGGCAACGTGCAAGAGGATAAGGGCGAGGTTAAGCAGAACATGAACTCATAAAGTGATTGCATGCTGTAGACCGATGTCGTCCATTGGCTCGCTGTACTTGTAGCCTAGCTTAGGCGATACCTCAACGAATTCAATAATATTGCCACAGTCTACGTCGTGTATGCGGCTTGAGGTGTATGAGATGAACGCGACTGTATGCGGTCATGTGATGAACTATTTGTCACGAAACTGACTTTGCCTTCTTTGGCAATTATCCCCTTGCGGCGAGGCACGAGCATATGCAGATCTACTTGATGCTGACGGTCCAACATATAGACTAAACTATCATACAGACCTCTGATATCCATTCATGGTAAGGGAGAAGAGCCTTTTGCATCAACACGTCGCGACTTCTTCCTGTCACATCCCGGGCGTATCGCATGGCTCGAATCTGCTTCCTGTGCAGCCTATGACTTCCTCGCTTCACCAAAGCTATCCGTTCTCCTTCGATACCTCAGTATCTGATGCTTCTACCCCTCTTGGAGATCTGACATATCTGCTCGTGCTGGCGTCTACGACAGTATGCTTAGGGGGAGAAGCTGGATTGCCTTGATTCCAGTGCACGCGTTCCTATCATCCGTCGTTCTCGGGTGGATGATAAACCAACTTCGTCTCCTCTAACTTGACAGCACAATCACCAGTATTACCAATATACGATTCCTCTTCTCCACTTCTGAGGGCGACACACATGGCGATATCAGCAAAGGCACCCACTGTATTGGTTCCAATTTCGGACACGCCCGGAAATATCAAATCCGCGTCTCCCTCGATGTTATGTCTGCATGCGTCAAAAGCGATACGCCGCATGAACTCTACCGCTGTGCTGAACAGTGGATATTTAATGATGGACCAGCACTGAGAGATTGCGCTCTCGTTGCTCCTGTCTTGACAAGCATGCAGCTTCGTGTCCTTAGCCTCCTGCTGCCTGCCTCCGGTGCGCTTGCTTCCCAGATCCCGCGCATCGACGACATCATCGGCGGCGTTCGCACCATCGCGCCTCTACGAAACACCGTCGCCATTCCCAAGAACCAGTACTTTCAAGCTGGCGTTGCTCCCCTCAGGTACATCGAGAACTCCGGGATCTGCGAAACCACGCCTGCGGTAAACCAGGCGGTTGGATACGCAGATATCGCGTACAACCAGACCTTGTTCTTCTGGTTCTTCGAGGCACGGAATGACCCCTATAATGCCCCGCTGTCGATATGGCTTAACGGTGGAGTACGTATCTACGGTTTCGCGTTCTCAACACCCGCTAATTCGAGGTCTGTTCTGTAGCCGGGTAGCTCCAGCATGCTGGGCCTATTCCAAGAGCTCGGCCCCTGCCGAGTCACGCTTGATGGGTCCAACTATACGCTCAATCCCTACGGCTGGAATGAATACAGCAACATGATATTCATTGACCAGCCTACTACTGTGGGATTCTCATACGGTACCGCCAATGTCGGGACGGCGATGGAAGCTGCCGAGGGAGTCTGGACGCTCCTACAGATGTTCCTGAGCGATCCAAAGTTCGCGCACCTGCAGAAGAATCAGTTTGCGGTCTGGACGGAGAGCTATGGTGGCCATTATGGGCCTGCGGTCTCCTAGTGCCCTCTATTCACCTTTGTATCGCTGTTGTGCTCATGTGATCTGCAGCCATATCTTGCAGCAAAACGCGTTGATCGAGGCAGGCATGCTCCACGGTATCAAGCTTAACTTCCAGACTCTTGGGATCGGAAACGGGCTCACCAACCCACTCGTACAGTACCCTCAGTACCTGGCTTACGCTCTTAACAACTCGTACACCGTTCCGCTCGTCAACACTACAGTATCGACGAATGCCTCTATCCACCTGTATGAATCTGGTGGGTGCCTAGACCAGATCTCGGCCTGCTACGACTCGACGTTGCTCAATGGATCTCCCAACGACACGGCTTGCTCTGCTGCCCAATCGTATTGCAATCAGTATGTGCTTAGCCCGCTTGTCGGCAAGTACAACGACTACGATGTTCGGGTCGTCAACCCAGACCCGTATCCGCCTGATTTGACCAACCTGCTTAATAGCCCTTGGCTGACAAGCAAAATTGGCATCCCGAGTTTTGTCAATTGGACTGAGACGAGCTATGCCGTATATGAGAACTTCGCTGCGACTGGTGACTGGAGTAGGCCCTTTGAGCAAATACTGCTGTATCTTCTGACCTCTGCGTAGTGACCAACTCTGCTCCCTATCTCGAGGCTGTAATCAACTCTGGTATCCGGACGACACTGTATGACGGCGATACAGATTACATCTGTAATTACAAGGGTTTCGAAGCGGTCACGGCCAACCTCAATACCAAGTTCAGCTCCATCTACGCGGCAAAGAACTTTACGCCCTGGACGGTGGAGGGGTATCCTGCAGGGATGATCAAGAATGCAGGCACGTTTTCGTTCGTTCAGGTCGCGGGTGCGGGGCACGAGGTGCCTGCGTATGGGAATGGCCCGCTGCAAGCGGGCCAGGCCGCGCTTGTGTTCTTTACCCAGACGATGAAGGGGTTACCGATTACGAGCACCTGAATCCCGTCGCGTTCCTTGGCCGTACCACTTCTCTCAGCGTCGCGTAGCTGTACATGACCTAGCGGACGGAAGGTTGGAATATCAGATGTATGAAATGATATATAACAATGATTGATGAATGTCCCTGGAATGTTGGGAGCCCTGAAGACGTCAGGTGCTTGGCGACGTCCCTTTGGTCGCGGTAATTTGCTCTTGACCACCATACGGAAGCTTGCTCTTGCTCTAACTCCTGGAGTTCTCCTAATGAGCGCCCCATCCGAAAATCTTATAATGTCCACAGTACTCAGCTATCAAGCTTTGTTCTCTCAACCCGCAGCACCGTGTTTCCATCACCCAAACGGAGGATGGCCAGCACACGGTGCAGATGGCTCTGGGTCCTTGCCCTCCTTCTGCATACAACATACGCAAGACACCTCCCCGTCATAGACGGTGTGATTGCTGGTGTTGCCGGCCTCGTCCCACGCTCTCCAACAGTATGGACGCCTCTCCCCGTCGTATCGCTCCTTGCCTCTCTCAAGCTGGGCATAGTCATCCGATCTCCTCCAACCGACCCGGGCACGTTCGGTACCGTCGGTACACTACGATATGTGGAGAATTCAGGAGTGTGCGAGACGACACCTGGTGTGTACCAGGCGAGTGGATACGCCGATATTGCACAGAATCAAAGCATCTTCTTCTGGTACTTCGCGAGTCGGAAGGGAGAGGAGGGAGCGCCGTTGACCGTGTGGATGAATGGTGGGGTGTGTGCTATGTTCCTTCAGCATGCTGATGGTTCTGACTTATTATTATGTAGCCCGGTAGCTCGAGCATGCTTGGTCTCTTCCAGGAGCTCGGTCCTTGTCGAGTTACGGACGACGCCCTGAACTACGCCTACAATCCCTATTCGTGGTCCAACGCAAGCAACATGCTCTTCATCGATCAGCCCGTGGGCGTCGGATTCTCCTATGGCACTGCAAAGGTCAACAACTCCCAGGCGGCAGCGGAGGATCTATGGACATTTATACAAGTGTTTTTGAGCGATGCAAGATTTTCGAGGTTGGCGAATAGCAGTTTGGGCATTTGGACAGAGAGTTACGGAGGACATTATGGTCCCACATTCGCCAAGTGAGCGAATCTCCTTTGCTATACATGCAATCAGCTCATCAGGATATGCAGTTATATCCTCCAGCAAAATACTGCTATTGATACTGGTCTCGTGCATGGGATCAAGCTAAATCTCAGCACACTTGGAATTGGAAACGGTTTAACCGTGCGTCCCATGACTATTTCCCCAGCGTATGTCCTAACTAGTGCTCTAGAACGCGCTCGTTCAATACCCCCATTACGTGACGTACGCTATGTCCAACCCGTACAACGTTATGCTTGCCAACGACACCGTCCTGACCAATGCCAACACGAGCCTTTACACTCCAGGCGGATGCTTAGACATGATCGAAGACTGCTATGCGTCTCAGACCAGGAACGGCATGGCAAATGCGAGTGTATGCGCGGAAGCACAGCAGTTCTGCAACAAGTTCGTCTTAACACCAATAGTGGGGAACTATGACGAATACGATGTGAGTTAGCTCCGTACATTCTCCTCATCGAATCTGAAGGTGTCTGAATAGGTTCGGCTCCAACAACCTGCATTATACCCCCCCGACATTCTGCACTTATTGCGAGATCCAGCACTTCTATCCGCAATTGGCGTCCCTTCTTACGTCAATTGGACACAGTCCAGTAAACAGGTTTACAACAACTTCGCCCGAGCCGGTGACTGGAGTAAGTTTTTTTTATGTACGTCGGCGTGCTGTACTAATTGTATGCTAGTGACCAATACTGCTCCATATCTGGAGAACGTGATCAACGCTGGCATCCGCGTGACATTGTACGACGGTGACGCAGACTACATTTGCAACTATCAGGGCTTCCAAGCGGTTGCTGATGCCCTAAATACCCGCTACACCTCCGCTTGGACTGCAGAGGAGTTCAATAGCTGGAAAGTCGGCGGCCAGGCCGCTGGTGTCTATAAGAATGCTGGGCCTTTGTCTTTCGTCGGCGTCGCGGGCGCGGGACACGAGGTACCAGCATATGGGACTGCTACTTTTGCGAAAGGACAAGCAGCACTGGCACTCTTTGAACAGACTCTGCAGGGACTTCCGATTACAAGCACATGAAGGACAACTCGATCGGATATCATTAGGATACAGGTGGAAAAATGCGCATTGATACAAGAGTGCATGTATAGTACGATGTATAAGAATAGTCCAAAGATTCCACGGCTCAAGAAGATTATCGTTGACTTCGCACCGCGCGTTCCCACATATCCAGCCTCTCCTTGAGCGCTTGCACGTTCTCCTCTGCGTAAACAGAATCGCCGGCTCTACCCGCCATTCGTCCCCTATCTCTTCGACCTTTCCATATCAAGGAATCTGCTGAGCGAAGGAAATCCATCGCACGTACCACATCATCTAACGACTGCGGGTCGTAAGGGTTTGGCGAGGGTGATGTTTGCGACACAGCACCGGATAACACAGATATTGGAATGGATAGCGTTCGCGCAGCATGCTCAAGAGCTTCCTGAGAGCGCACATCATGTCTATTTGGGGATTCCTCTGGCGCAGGTCGCAGATGCTCTCCGTTCATCTTGTGATACGACACAGTTCGAGTCTGTGGTTGGGTTTCTCTTCGTCTTCTCGGCGAGGAGGTCGGAACTTCAGGTAGGGGTGAGCGCCACGCACGCGGCTCAGAACTCGCCACAGAAGCACCTGGGCGAAAGGCCATGTGGATTTCTGGCATTGCAGGGGGCTCCAAACCGAGGGAACGCATCATCTCGCCCAGTTCCTCGCATTGTCGCTCTAGCTCGTCTGCTTCTCGGCGCGCTTGAGCTAGTTCCCTTTCGAGTGCTTCTCGTTCGCGTTCGTTTCGCGCCTCAGAAAACTGGACTGATATTAGCAAATGCAGCGCAGGGAAGGTGAGGAATGTACTTTTAGTTCGTCGTACAAAGATATTGAAGAGTACGAAGACGAAGGTGCAGCTGCTAATGACATCGACAGCTTGCCATTTTGTGGAGGCGACGACTGTCTAGAGACAAGGAGCACTTCGGGATGTCCGTGTTGTGGTGGGAATTGACCCATTGACCCGTCCAAGTATCCTGGAGGTTGATCAAATCCAGATCTGGACGAGGATGCGGCAGCTTGTTGAGGTGATTTGACCTGTTGTGGTCTGTTTTCGGCATGCGAGACTTGGTAACTTTCGGGAGAAAAGCCATGTGAAGGAGTAAAGGGAGAAGAATTCGCAGCGCTTGTAGTATTCTTCAAGTATGTGGCAGGGATCTCACCTAGCAATGAAAGCATAAATCGCATGTTACTGAAGGCAGGAGGCCTTCACTTACTGGAAGCTTCCACGTCCGAATATCTCGATCCAGAGCTAGGCAACGCAACCTGCGCAGATGAGCTCAAAGCTCTTCTCGGTTCTCTTGATCTGTCGTCTAACTGGATCTGCGACGCTTGGAGTTCATGTCCAGTATCCGTGGATCTTCCTCGCTGCACAGCGCTCATGAATGATTCGTGTGACATGGCTCGTACCGGTGGCTTGTGGGGTGCAGAGCCCGGCACTGTGATCATCATCGGGTAGCGAGCCATTAGCCGACTGAGCTCACCAGAGCTCTACTCTTCATAAATGACATACACGACAGAAGCAGAGAACTTACGCACCTCAGTTACTGGAACAGTGATGTTATTTGGGGTCGGCTGCTCTGCAGATTGGCTGGATGTTGATGCCACACAAACAGGCTCCAAACTTGGTGATCGTAACGCATTGAACAAGCTATCACCGGTCGGTACTGTTGACGATGGAATAGGTGCTTCTTGTGTTTGCTTTACTTCGCAGCTGCACTGAATGACTATTCCATGACTGGGTCGTAAAGTACCGCGTACCTGTGGGACATTCACCTCAGCTTCTTGCCCTCTCTCGTCTCCAGCGATAGACCTTGCACCCGCGCTGGATGCATCATCCTCTATTGCTTGTCGCAGCAGTTCCAAATCCAGGCCTCTAAGGTCTTGAAAGTCTTTTACGTTTGACGGAAGGACACCGATCAGGGTTTGTGGCTTTGTGTTGACTTCTTCCAAGGGCACTGCTACCGGGCTCAGAGGATTCGACAGTGGAAGCGGTATTGAACCTGGCGAAGGTCGATAGTCCATATTTCAAAACTCAGTTCAAGAATTGGTTCGAGATTTTCGCTTTCCTAGGGCATTGTGTTGATGCAGCTGCAGAATCTAACGCAGTTACGCCCGACATTCACTGTCTGCGGACGAGGGTCTGATAATAGCTACCAGTCGCGGCATATTTTGTCCTTCCGGTCCCTTAGGGACCGGAGTCTAATAAAGGTCCGTTTCCCCTCCACCGAAAACTGGTCCTATCGGACCCTGAATAGCCATCACCTTGACCCCAACCTGCTTGACCCTGACCCCCTCCCCTCCCTCCTCACCACTCCCACCTTTTGCTCGCACTCCAAGGCACCCCTCCTGCTCGCTGACCTCTCTAGAGGATGCTTGCAGTGAAGACACGAGCCGAGCAGGGATGGGAAGGGGGAGAAGAAGGGATTGGGATCATGCTGGGCATGATGCAGGAGATCGTGGAGGTGAGGGAGTGGGTGGAGAGGGATGAGTGGGAATCGGTTGAGTGGGTGTGGGGGGAGTGGGAGAAGCAGGAGTTGGTCGAGAGGGCAAGGGCAGCACTTTCCAGGTTAGCAAACCCCCCTGCTTTCCATTTGTTAGTCAGCTGACAATCTCAACAGGTAGCTATGCACCAAATCATATCTACCCACACTGGGTGACCTCCGACCTCTCTGTCAGGGCACTTAGGATCATCCACAGGTACCTATACTGTAGATAGGTCTTAGTCATCAGGTCTACTCCACTTCCTTGTTGCCTGCTTAGACTCTTGGCACTCTTAGGTGAGCAGACTTAGTCAGCCTGTGTTGCCCTAACAAGTAGCCCTAAAGCATTGCATGCTGCCTTGAATGTTGGGTACAGAACTGTGAGGGCAACATGATCCAACAATTGTTGATGATCAAATAACTGAACAGGTGATGAGCAAAGCAGAGAGTAGTGAGTTGTATGTCAATCAATACCTCAACATTTGTTCACAAATGGAGTGATTGACAGCAGTGTTATAGAGTAAGTGGGGATCG